TTCTAGGGGCTCAGGAGTGTGAGTGGCCCAGGCGCCTGCCGTCAGCCTGTCGTCTGTGCTCTGCCTGTTGTGGGCAGGACAGAGTTGGGGGCAGCCGGGGAGGCGGCATGGTCGTGGTGGGAGCCCAGGACCCCACTGAACCCCGTGTCCATCTCGCAGCCTGAGCGGTGCATCCCCGTTCCTGGGCGAGACCAAGCAGGAGACGCTCACCAACATCTCAGCCGTGAACTATGACTTTGACGAGGAGTACTTCAGCAACACCAGTGAGCTGGCCAAGGACTTCATTCGCCGGCTGCTCGTCAAAGATCCCAAGTACGAGGGGCCGGCAGAGGGCACGGGGTGGGACATGGGACACGGGCCCACTCCACCCATGGAGGCTGCAGGGGACTCTCCTCCCAGCGCCACCTCCCTGTGGCTGGCGATCGGACATTGCTTCCCTCTTGGGCTGGAGAGAGGAAACTGATGGGCCAGGTTGGCCATTGCCATGGTTTTTTCTTGAGACGGAGTCTCGCTCTATCACCCAGGCTGGAGTGCAGTGGTGTGATCTCGGCTCACTGTAGCCTCCACCTCCCAGGTTCAGGATATTCTTCCATGTCAGCCTCCTGAGTAGCTGGGATTACAGGTGCCCGCCACCACACCTGGCTAATTTTTGTATTTTTAGTAGAGACAGAGCTTCACCGTGTTGCTCAGGCTGGTCTTGAGCTCCTGACCTCCAGTGATTTGCCCGCCTTGGCCTCCCAAACTGCTGGAATTGCAGGTGTGACACACTGGCTGCTTGCCGTGTTTTTAACAAACTTTTAGTTGCCAGTGTGTAAAATAAGGTTCTATGTAAAATTCCAGGTGACTTGTTTTCCTGTAAACACTTAGAATCCCGGCAGTGCTGAGCCCTCACTCATAGGGCCTTCCCAGGCCTCCCCTGACCTCCCCGGGCCTCCCTGGGTGTGCCCAGACCCCCAGACCTCCTGGGCCTCCCCGGCCACCCAGCCTCTCTCTCGGGCACCTGGGTTTGCTCCTCCAGCCTGAAGTCTCAGCTCTCTCCACCATCCCCCGGGAAACCCCGTGCTCCCTGAAGTCCCCTTGTTCAGCTCCTGTGGTTGGCTGAGCAGAGGCTGGGGGGTGACTTTAGGGCTTTTGGGGGTCCTGGGAGTCAGTCATCCACGGGAGGACGGGACAGATGGTGCAGGTGTAACTAACCAGGGCAGGGGTCTTCCAGGCGGAGAATGACCATTGCCCAGAGCCTGGAACATTCCTGGATTAAGGTAAGTGGGTGGGGGGGGAGTTCCCTGGGCTTCCCGCCTTGGCCTTCTCACTGGGGTCCGGATGGCCTTCAGCATTTAAGGCTTGTGGATGTGACAAACCCCAGTGGCTGGGAAGGGTCCCCAGAGAAGTGGGCCTGGGTGGTGGGGGTCGGGTCCTGGGCGTGGGACATGTGGCACCCGACAGACCTGGTGGCGTCCTCGGCTGGTGTGTGTCCAGCAGGGCTGAGACTCCCAGGGCCGGGGCCGCAGCGTTTTTCTGGAGGGAGCGCTTGCGGCTTTGCGTTGGGCCGGGCAGTCTCTGTCATGAGGCGTTGACTCGGCTGCCGGATGAGCCCCTGAACCTCAGTTCACACTGGCAGGCGGGGGCTGGCAGGGCTGGGTGGCGTCGCGGGGACCCCGCTCAGGCCTCCCTCCCTCCTAGGCCATCCGGCGGCGGAACGTGCGTGGCGAGGACAGCGGCCGCAAGCCCGAGCGGCGGCGCCTGAAGACCACGCGTCTGAAGGAGTACACCATCAAGTCGCACTCCAGCATGCCGCCCAACAACAGCTACGCCAACTTCGAGCGCTTCTCCAAGGTGCTGGAGGAGGTGGCGGCGGCCGAGGAGGGCCTGCGCGAGCTGGAGCGCAGCCGGCGGCTCTGCCATGAGGACGTGGAGGCGCTGGCCGCCATCTACGAGGAGAAGGAGGCCTGGTACCGCGAGGAGAGCGACAGCCTGGGCCAGGACCTGCGGCGGCTGCGGCAGGAGCTGCTCAAGACCGAGGCACTCAAGCGGCAGGCGCAGGAGGAGGCCAAGGGCGCGCTGCTGGGGACCAGCGGCCTCAAGCGCCGCTTCAGCCGCCTGGAGAACCGCTACGAGGCGCTGGCCAAGCAGGTGGCCTCCGAGATGCGCTTCGTACAGGACCTGGTGCGCGCCCTGGAGCAGGAGAAGCTGCAGGGCGTGGAGTGCGGCCTGCGCTAGGCGCACTGGGATGGGCCAGGCCCCAGGACAGCTGAAGCTCGGCCTTCGGTGGGGGCGCTTGCTTGGACGCTGCTCCTCCTGTCCCGTTCCAGCCCTTGTACACCGCCCCCAGGCTGGAGGCGGAGTGGAAAGAGCTGGAGGGCAAGGGTGGGTGTGGGACGGGGCTGCTTCTCTGCACAGCCTCCAAGCCGGCCTTCACCTTCGCTCCTGCATCATCAATGACGCTGGGACCCTCCAGGCAGCGTGGCCTCTGGCGCTGTGAGGGTTGGGACCCAGGATGGGACTGGCTATCGAGGCACAGCGGCCGTCCGAATGCAGCCCTGACCCAGGCCCAGGCCTGGGGGAGGGTTTGTGGGCAGTTTGGTGGGGTGCTGCCCGCTGCTGCCACTGGCCCAGGAGGAGGTCGTGGGACGGGGAGGGTGGGGTGGACGGCGGACAGGCAGTCCCCACGCTTCTGGGTGGCGCCGGGCTTGGTGGGGTCTTCTACCATGTGACTTCTTTGCCGAGGCCCGTTCCCTGGATGTGGGGTCCTCTGCTGCGGACTCCTCCGCGAGCCCCGTCGTGGCGCGTCTGCAGGCCTAGACAAGAGCGGCCCTCTGCAGCCAAGAGAAATAAAACACCGGCTTCCAGATACGCAGCGTGTTGTGCGCTTCAGACCTTGGCAGGGGATAACCAGCCCTTGGCCTCCGGGGATGTGCCCTCCGAGGCTTTCATGTTTGTCTGTGTTCCCTGCCTGCCGCTGTGCTCCTCGGGAAGAAGGGGACAAAGTTGGGTGGCCTCGCAGATCCTCACGGTGCCCTGGGAGCTGCCGCATCTTGGTCTCTGGCGCCCCTGGATGTTTGGATTGCAATGAGATGGAAGCTCCGGGCGGCCGAGGTGGGTCCCAGTCATTTCTTGTCCTTTTGCGCCTTACTGGATGCTGCTGCGTCCCACGTGGGAGCCCCTGCCCCGCCTGGAGCCACAGGCCGGTGGCCTTGGAGGAGCAGGCTCAGCACAGCCGCTGGGTCTCACTCCCACGTGGTTTCAGAGAGGGCCCCACCCTGCTCGG